GCGCTCGCGACGGCGGGACGCGCGCGCCGCGGCTCGAGGCGGCCCCCGTCCCCGCAGGCTCGTGAGCATCTTCTTCCCCTTCGCGCTGCTCGTCGTCTTCAACGCGGCGGGCATGATCTAGGACCCCCCCCCGCGCGCGCGCCCGCCGAGACGTCCCGAAGCTTAAGGCCCTAGGCCGGGAGGAGGAGGAGCGCGAGGAGCGCGCCGACGAGCGGCACGGAGACGTTGTCGTCGATGCCGATGGCCGGCGCCGGGACGACCTCGACGAGCGCGCAGGCCGCGGAGACCGCGGCGACGCGGGCCGCGAGGTCGAGGTCGACCGTCGCGAGGCCGAGCCACGCGAGCAGCCCGAGCGACGCGGCCGTCGCGCCGGCGAAAAAGGCGAGGGAGCCCGCGTAGGACTTGCCGCCGTTGCAGAACCACTTGGCGTCGCCGAAGCGGCGGCCCGCGATGTCCGCGAGGCCGTCGCCGACGGCCATCTGGCACAGCGCGACGACCGCGGCCGGCGACCGGAACCCGAAGAGCGTCGCCGCGAAGAGCACCAAGGTGTAGATGAGCGGCCCGCCGAGCACCTCCCGGGGGTCGCCCGTGCGGCTCACGGCGTCGACGAACGTCTTCTCGCCGCCGTCGACGCCCCGGTCGCGCGCGTCGACGGCGCGCTTCGTCGCGCCGACGATCTTCGCGACGTTGAGCAGGGGCACGAGCGCCGCGGCGACGCGCGCCGTCGGGTCCGCCGAGTAGAAGCGCCAGGCCAAAACGAAGAGCGGCGCGCTCCCGCAGTGGATGATCTTCCGCGAGAGCTTCGTTTCCACCAAGTCGTTGCTCGCGAGGAACGTCACGGCCCGGAGCCAGCCGACGGCGCCGGCCGCCGCCAGGGCCGACACGGCGAGGTCCCGCGGCAGGGGCACGCCGAGCGCGTCGCCCGGGAGCCCGGCGGCGCCGAGCGCGGACGCCGCCGCCGGCAGCGCGACGAGCGGCGCCGCGGCCGCGAGCAGCGCGAGCGGCGCGCGCCGCCGCCGCGGCGCGACGCGCCGGCCCGGGCCGGCCTCGCCGAGCGCCGGGGCGCTGAGGCCCACGACCTGCGGCGCCGCGGCCGCGGGCTGCGGGTGCGCATGAATCGGTTGCGTGCTGTAGCCGCCCTTGACGCGCGGCCGCAGCGGCGGTTTCTCGTCGAAGCGGCGCTTGATCCGCGGCTCGGGGGAGAGCGGGTGGGTGGCCGTCGCCGCGGCGAGCACGAGGGCCACGGCGACGGCCGCGGATCTACTTTGAAGCAACCGCATCGCCACGACTGGGGCTCCGAGCATCCCAAGCGTGGCTCAACGTGGCTGCAAGGCAAACCGCCACGCCGCAGTGACCCCTGAGGCCGTCCCCGAAATCAGCTTCTAAATTCCTTCTAGCAACGAGAGAACCCGCTCGTGTTCGCCATTTTGCCAGAGTGTCGTGGTCAAATTGAAGAGCTCTATGGCGGTGGCATCACCCAGGCGGAACACGTCCGGCCTCGGCACCCTGCGAAGGTCGACAACGAAGTGCAAGCTCCCCCCCTCGGCCTGCCCTTGCATTCGCCAGACGTAATGAGTGGCCTGGATGTACTGCAGCGCGCTGATCTTGATGTTCCAGCGCTGGAGGTGGTACGCGATGGCGCGAAAGATGTGCACGTTCGTATGGCAGTAGTACGCGGAGTGCGCGAGGAGCGCCTCGCCGAGGTGTGTCGCCGCACCCGGCCCCGGGCCGAATTCGAACAGCGAGCGGAGCACCTGGAGCCTGCGGCTATCGTCGCCGATCCGCAGCGCGTCGCGCAGCGTCTCGGTCGGCACCTCGAACCTCGAGACGGGCCCGGGCCCACGGAAGTTGTCGGCCAGGCGGCGCACGCCGACGAAATCGCCGGCGATGACTGCCCGTCTCAAGGGAAGGACGTACAACAAAAGGCACTTGCGCCACGGCTGTTCGTGCGCGAGCGACGAGCGAACGCCGAGCTCTCGACACAGATGCCGCCAAAAGGTCTCTGTCAAGGGCGCGATTGCAGCGACGAGGGCTTGGGACCGCGTGTTCACCACGATCTTGTCAAGTGGCACGAATGTGCCGAGCAGCACGCCGACATCGTTGGGCAGCTCCAGGAGGCGGCCCATTCGGGCTGAATCGGGCAGCGTGGGGTAACCTCGGCTTCAATCATCGATGTTGCAGCCATCTCCGCGGCGCTCCGTGGACCTCGTCATCGCCACCAGCGCCGGCGCCACCCACCGCGCGCTGCAATCAACGACCGCGCCGCTGCGTTCAACGACCGCTCCGCATATGCTCATGCTTTTAGCTTTGTTGCCGGCCGCTCGCGCCCTGCGCGCTCCCGCGAGCGCGCGTGCACACCCCACCCTGCGCCGCGCGTCGTCCGTGGACCTGAGCTTCGAGGCCGCGGCGGCGCCGGCGTCGACGACGGTCTACGCCGGCCTCAAGGACGCCGTCGCGCAGCAGGCGCCGGCGGGCGTGGACGCGGCGCTCTGGGCCGCGCTCGTCGACAGCGTGAAGCCCGGCGACGACGGCGCGGCGGCGTCGACGGCCTACGCGCGCGACGGCGCGCTGCGCCGCGTCGTCGCCGCCGTGCTTCCCGACCACTGCTCGCGCCACAACTCGCCCCTGCGGCCCCACGCGCTCGCGAGCCTCGTCGGCGCGAACGCGGGCACGGAGGACGCGGCCGTCGTCTGCCGCCTCGCGGACGGCGCGGCCGCGGCGCCGGCCGCGGCCGCCGTCGCGCGCGCGTTCCCGCTCTACGACGCCAAGAAGGGCAAGGACGACGGCGCGCCGCGCACGGTCCGCGTCGCCTTCGAGGACGCCGGCGGCGCGCCGGTGGCCGACGAGCGGACGCTGCGGGCCGCGGCCGTCGCCGCGGACGCCGTGCGCCTCGCGCAGCGCATCGTCGACGCGCCCCCGAACGAGATGACGACGACGCGCCTCGTCGCCGAGGCGCGCGACGTCGCGGCGCGCCTCCGGGCCGCGGGCGTCGCCGTCGACGAGGAGGTCCTGGCCGGCGCCGCGCTGAGGGACGCGGGCTACGGCGGCATCTACAACGTCGGCAAGTGCGCGGTGGAGCCGCCGGCGCTCGTCGTGCTGTCGGCGAAGTTCCCGGCGAACGCGGGCGGCCCGTCCGCGGCCCTCGTCGGCAAGGGCGTCGTCTTCGACACGGGCGGCCTCTCCTTGAAAATCTCCGGCGGCATGGTCGGCATGAAGAGCGACTGCGGCGGCGCGGCCGCGGTCCTCGGCGGCTTCGAGGCCGCGTGCGCGCTCGGCGGCGGCGCCTACGAGGAAATTCATTGTCTTCTCTGCGTCGCGGAGAACGCGATCGGCCCTGACGCGATGCGCTGCGACGACATCGTCACCTTCTTCAGTGGCCTCACCTGCGAGATCAACAACACGGACGCCGAGGGCCGCCTCTGCCTCGCCGACGGCGTCGCGCGCGCGTCGACGCCCGGCGGCCTCGGGTCCAGGGACGTCGACGTCCTCATCGACATGGCGACGCTCACGGGCGCGCAGATGGTGTCGACGGGCCAGCGCCACGCGGCCGTCTTCTCCGACGACGAGGCCCTCGAGGCGCGCGCCGTCGCCGCGGGCAAGCGCTCCGGCGACCTCTGCCACCCGCTGCCCTTCGCGCCCGAGATCTACCGGGCGGAATTCAAGTCCAAGGTCGCGGACATGAAGAACTCCGTCAAGGACCGCATGAACGCCCAGGCCTCCTGCGCGGCGAACTTCATCTACGAGAACGTCCACGCCGACTTCCAGGGGAGCTGGCTCCACGTGGACCTCGCGGGGCCCTCGACGGCGGCCGAGCGCGGCACGGGCTTCGGCGTCGCCCTCGCGCTCGCGCTCCTCGACGTCGACGGGTTCGAGGCGTAAGGGGGACCGCGGTGTGTTGTTGCCCGACGGGCGGGGTGCGCGCGCCAGACAGGGGGCGGAGCTGCCGAGGTCGTCGTCGAAGGCTCGAGGCGAGCGCAAGCTGACGACGAGTCGCTTGTGGCGATCGATCGAGTCGCCTGATCGAGAGGCCGACCGCGGGAGACGTCGCGCGACGCCCGACCTCATTGCAGACGTCGCAGTCCTTGGACGCAAACGAGGCGAACCAGGCCGCGAGTCCGCAAAGCCTCGGAGCGCGGCGACGCAAGGCGTTCGCTTCCGTCGGCGAGTCTGTGACCCCCAAGTCACGCACGAGATCGCGACGGGGGCGACGTTCCGCGAGGTCGACCGACGGCCGGCGTCGCAACGAGGCGCACGATGCGCGCGGCGCTCCTCGTCGCCGCCTGGCTCCGATGCGTCGCGGCGGCCGCCGCCTCGTCGCGCCGCGACGAGATGCTCGGCGTCCTCTGCGCGCTCCGCGAGGCCCCGCCGCGGTCCGACTTCTTCGCGCTGCAGCGGTCGAACCCGCAGCACGGGTGCCGCACTCCGAGCAGCCGCTTGGGCTCGAAGCGGTTGCCCGTCGCGGTCGGGTACGCCGTCCCGCCGGAGCCGACCGACTGCTTCGACCTCCTCTCGTACTTCGGCCACAAGAACGCCGAGCTCGGGTTCTTGAAAGCGAACCTGCGGCCGGACCGCGAGCAGGCGCTCTACGACGCGCTGATCAAGGAAGAACACGGAAGAGCAAAACGATACGGCGGCTTGTTTTCGCAGGTCAACGTGGCGACGCAGCTCGCCTTCGACGCGGCGGCGGCGGGCGCGCGCGTCGAGTTTTCGTCGTCCCCGGTCCACAACGGGGTCGCCGGCCACACGGCCGACGACTACGGCCGCGGCTGCGGCGGCGAGGCAAGTACTGCCATCGCCCGGCGACTGGGGACGCGACCCGAGGAACGCGCCGAGCTCGCTCTCGCCGCGAAACCCGAGAAGCACTCGAAGGGCGGCAAGAAGAAGAAGGAGGGAGGTCGTCACGGTCACAAAATCAGCGCCGACGCGACGATGGGCTGCTTCTTCGCGCCCGTCGACGACGCCGCGTGCGCGGCCGCGCGCGCGCCGCGGGACGCCGCGGGCGCGTTCCGCGCGCTCGCGGCGAACTGGACGCGGCACGAGGCCCTGGCCGCGTTCACCGAGGTCCTCTGGCGCCCGAGCGCGGCGGTCCGGGCCACGACCGCGGCGATACGCTCGGCGCTCGACCTGCCCGCGGAGACGCGCGTCGCGCTCGGCGTCCACGCGCGCCGCGGCGACCGCCTGAGTTGGGAGAAAAAACACGTCGACGCGGGCTTTACGTTTTTTGACGACGCCGAGTGGGTGGACTTCTTCGCTCAGCACACGGCGCGCGGCGACGTCGCGGTCGTGTTGACGCAAGACGACGCGCTCGCCGCGAAGCTCGCGCGCGCGTCCGCGGCGCGCGGCGTCCGCGTCGTCCACGTCGACGCCGCGCTGAGGAGCGCGGACCTGCCCTTCGGCCAGTTCCTCGTCGCCGCGATCGCGCTCCTCGCCGAGGCGGACGTCGTCGCCGCGAACTCGGGCTCGAACATGGGCCGCGCCGCGTTCGTGTCCGCGGCGCAGCGCGCGGCGCGCGGCCCGGCCACGATGCACGACTTCGACGGCCACTGGACGGCCGATGACGCGGCGCGCGGCTACGCGCCCTGCCTGCTCCAGTACTTGGTGCGAAGCGAGGGCCCGAAGCTCGACGGTTGCCCGGGCGACGCGCCCGCCGCTCGGGCTTCGACGCGGGAGGATCGCGACTACGACGAACGGTCCGCCATGCACTACGCCTTCCAGACGGTCGCTCCAAGGATCGAGAAACGAGACATCAGCGTGAGCAAGTTCGCCGCGCTGGTCTCCGGGTTCATCAAAGACGAATTCAACGCGACCGTCCCCCCCCGCTACATCCGCGAGGCTTACCGGCAGGACATGGTCGAGTGCTTGCTCAACGTCGATGAGAAGAAGGTCACGAAGGTGGATCAGAAGTACGTCGCCATCCTGCGCGACGATCCGGGCTACGAACGCGCCTTCAAAGAGGACGCGCCGAAGCCGAGCCGCTTCAACGCGGTCTCGACCGAATGGAGACTCGCTGGTCTGGGCGCCAACCTCTGCTCGCGCGTCTGCTAAAATACATGCTCCAGTAGCTAACGGCTTCGGGAGGTCGATCGCTGTTTCGCCACAGTCGACGACCAAAAGGACGCATGCGGCGATCCAGAACGCGCGAGGCCTGGGGTCGGGGCGTTGGAGGTTTACGCGCAAGCGTTCGCTTCCTTTCGGCGAGTCCGTGACCCCGCGGCCGGCGATCGACGGCTCGCGCACGAGATCGCGGCCTTGGCGACGTTCCTCGAGGTCGACCGACGGCCGGCGTCGCAAAGAGGCGCACGATGCGCGCGGGTCTGCTCGTCGCCGCCTGGCTCCGATGCGTCGCGGCGGCGGCGGCCTCGTCGCGCCGCGACGAGATGCTCGGCGTCCTCTGCGCGCTCCGCGAGGCCCCGCCGCGGTCCGACCTGGCTTCGCTGCAGCGGTCGAACCCGCAGCACGGATGCCTCGCGCCGGCAGGCCGCCTGGGCTCGAGGAGTCCGCCGGTCGCGGTCGGGTATCCCGTCTCGCCGGAGCCGATCAACTGCTTCGACCTCCTCGGTCGCTACTTGGAACGAGGAAGCGGGGAGCTCGCGTTATTCAAGAACGCGTCGAAGCGAGGAGGTCCCGGACGAAGGCGCGAAGAGGTCCTGGACGAATACATGCAACCGGGCCGCGAGCAGGAGCTCTTCGACGCGCTCATGAAAGAGGAGGGATTCATGTACGCCGCCAGCGGCCTCTTCGCGCAGGTCAACGTGGCGACGCAGCTCGCGTTCGACGCGGCGACGGCGGGCGCGCGCGTCGAGTTCTCGTCGTTCCGGGTCCGCAGCGGCGTCGACGGCCACGAGGCCGACGACTACGGCCGCGGCTGCGGCGGCGAGGCCGGGGCCGACGCGACGATGGGCTGCTTCTTCGCGCCCGTCGACGACGCCGCGTGCGCGGCCGCGCGCGCGCCGCGGGACGCCGCGGGCGCGTTCCGCGCGCTCGCGGCGAACTGGACGCGGCACGAGGCCCTGGCCGCGTTCACCGAGGTCCTCTGGCGCCCGAGCGCGGCGGTCCGGGCCACGACCGCGGCGATGCGAAAGGCGCTCGACCTGCCCGCGGAGACGCGCGTCGCGCTCGGCGTCCACGCGCGCCGCGGCGACCGCCTGAGATGGGAGGCGGGCCACGCGGACGCGGGCTTCACGATGTTCGACGACGCCGCGTGGGTGGACTTCTTTGCTCAGCACACGGCGAGCGGCGACGTCGCGGTCGTGTTGACGCAAGACGACGCGCTCGCCGCGAAGCTCGCGCGCGCGTCCGCGGCGCGCGGCGTCCGCGTCGTCCACGTCGACGCCGCGCTGAGGAGCGCGGGCCTGCCCTTCGGCCAATTCCTCGTCGCCGCGGTCGCGCTCCTCGCGGAGGCGGACGTCGTCGCCGCGAACTCGGGCTCGAACATCGGCCGCGCCGCGTTCGTGTCCGCGGCGCAGCGCGCGGCGCGCGGCCCGGCCACGATGCACGACTTCGACGGCCACTGGACGGCCGAGGAGGCGGCGCGCGGCTACGCGCCCTGCCTGCTCCAGTACATGGTGCGAAGCGCGGGCCCGAAGCTCGACGGTTGCCCGGGCGACGCGCCCGCCGCTCGGGCTTCGACGCGGGAGGATCGCGACTACGACGAACGGTCCGCCATGCACTACGCGTTCCAAGAGGTTGCAAAAAAAAAATCATCGAAACGTTTGCACACGATAAGGTTCGCCACGTGGGTCTCGGAGTTCATCCGAGCAGAATTCAACGCGACCGTCCCCGGCCGCTACATTCGCGAGTTTTACCGGCAGGACATGATCGAGTGCTTAGTCATGACCAAGACCTCCTGGAAGCTCTCCTGGGCGGACAAGCAGTACATGACCTTCATTCGCCGCGACCCGGGCTACAAAAAAGCCTACGAAAAGAGGCAGTCCAAGCCGAGCCACTTGAACGCGGTCTCGACCGAGTATAGAACCGCCGGTTTGGGCGCCAACCTCTGCTCGCGCGTCTGCTAACGATGCTCGAGAGCGAAGGGCGCAGTTCAAGTTACGCGCGCCTGAGCGTAGGAGGCGTGCTGCGGGAAGGAGTCGTCCTCGAGGCACTCGCCGTTTTTCTTGAACGTCGCGACGTTCCTGATGCAGGCGCAGGGCTGGTTCGCGCACCGCTGCTCGCCGCCGAGGCCGAACTGCGCGCGCATCTCGCTGACGAGCGCACCCGCGGCCATGGTCTCGTGGACGTCGTCCCACGCCGCGAAGCACGGCGCGTATTCCCCGGGGATCACGTCGAGCACGTCGTGCGTGCCGTAGTCCGCCGTCGGGCCGTCGCGCACGCACGCGTCGAAGAGCGTCCAGTTGCGCACCGCGAGCGTCGTGTCCCAGCGGTTCACTACGACGAGCGCCGGCGGCCGTAGCGCGTCCTCCGCGAGGATCTCGGCCACGCGCGCGAGCAACCCGACGACGACGTCGCGCTGCGTGACGCCGCCGTCGTTGCCCAGGTCCGCGAGGTGCTCGGCGGGCATGCCGAGCTTCGCCATGTTCGCGCGGTCCCGGGCCGTGTAGCCCTTGGCCGCGTGGGGGCGCACGACCCAGTCGCGGGCGTCGCCGCTGAGCCAGGGCGCGTACCAGCGCCGCAGCAGCGTCTCGGGGAGGTCCGCGTCGCCGCGCGAGCAGGCGTACGTCGCGGAGACGACGCGCGCCCTGCCGTAGCCGCGGTCCTCGAGCGCGTCGAGGAACGCTTTGTGCGTCTCGAAGATCGCGCGCTGCGCGGCGACGGAGCTGTTGCAGCACGTGTGCACCGTCTTCTGGCCGTGGCCGTTGCGGAAGGCCTCGCCGCGGACGACGAAGAGCACGCCGCCCATGGAGGCGCGGGCGGCCACCAGCCGATCCCGCTCGGCGAAGCAGAGCGAGCGCACCCGCGGCGATTGCAGGTGGGCCGAGGCGCACCAGGCGAGCACCATCGTCACACACCACAACATCTCGTGTGTCGACATCAGCAAGCGTGGCGTGCGCAGCCCGGCGCATCCTCCATGCTTCAGTGCCCGGCTGCAACTTGAACCCCATTGCAGTTTCAAGAGGTCGATGAGCAGGCCCTGGCTCCGATCGATGCGCAAGCCCAGGCCTTGGTAGTTTCAAGAGGATCGATGCGCAGGGCTCGGCTCCGATCGATGCGCAGGCCCAGGCCTTGGCTCCTTTTGCTCCTAAGACACAGCAGCTCGGCCTTGCGCTGCGTGCGCGTCCACGCGATCAGCGACCTCCACGTCGACCACGATGCGAATCTGGACTTCGTGCGATCGCTGGAGCGGCCGACGGGCGACGGCTTCCAGGCGCTCGTCGTCGCCGGCGACGTGAGCGCGGACCTGGGACGGACGCGCGAGGCGCTGTCGGCGCTCGCCGCCGCCTACGACCGCGTCTTCTACGTGCCGGGGAACCACGAGGCCTGGGTCACGAAGGGCGACCGCGACGCGGGCCTCGCCGATTCGCTCGCGAAGCTCGAGGCCGCGGAGGCGGCCGCGGCGGCCTGCGGCTGCGCCGTCGCCGCGGAGACGCTCGCCGACGACGCGGGCCGCGCCGTCACGGTCGCGCCGCTGCGCGCCTGGCCGCACGCGTCGCACGACGTCGAGCCCGACCTGCCCGGCGAACCGGACCCGGCGGACCGGCGGTCCTTCGCGCGGCGCTGGGCCGATTTCCGGCGGTGCCGCTGGCCCGCGGCGCTGCTGGGGGCCGCGGGCGGCGACGCGCGGCCCCACGGCCTCGGCGCGGGCGACGCGGCGCTGTCGCGCCACTTCGCGGCCTCGAACGACGTCGCGGGCCTCTCCGGCCCGCTCGTCACGTTCTCCCACTTCTCGCCGCGCCGCGAGTGCGTGCCGGAGAAGCGCTTCCTCCTCGAGCCGTCGCTCGCCAAAGTCTCCGGCTCGGACGACCTCGGCCGCGTCGTCGCGGCGCTGCGGCCGGACGTGCACGTCTTCGGGCACACGCACATCCCCGTGGACCTCGACCTCGACGGGACCTACCACGTCCAGTGGCCCCTCGGGAGCCCGCGGGAGCAGGCGCGCCAGTGCGCCCGCGTCCGCCGCCACGGGCCCCTGGAGATCTACGCGACGGACCGCGGCGTCGCGCGCCTGGGCTCGCCGGGCGCGCTCGAGCGCACGGCCTGGGGCGAGTACTACGCGACGCACGACCGCGATCCCGCGGCGACGGAGCTCGCGCCCTGGGTCCAGGCCTACCGGCTACGGCGCAACTACGCGCCGGCGAAGGCGCGCGTCCCCCGGCACGCGGGCTACGACGACGACGTCCGCAAGCTCGCGGACCCGGACCTCACGGAGACGCCGTCCATCGTGTCGAGGTTGGAGGGGTGGCACACGGATTAACCTTCGTTTTTGCGAGCCGCCTTTGCGCAATCTTCAGCTTGAACTCAACCCTCAGTTCTTTGCGGAGTTTCAGGGCCCCGGACATCTCCGCGAACGCCATGCGGATGCTGCTGCTCGTGTTCGCGGTCGCCGCCGCCAAGAAGGGCGACGGCGACGGCAAGGGCGACGCCTACGACGGCAAGGGCGGCGCCTACGGGGACAAGGGCGATTATGGCAAGGGCGGCGCCTACGGGGACAAGGGCGACTATGGCAAATACACTCCCGGGCAGCCGGCCAAGGGCGACGAGGAATGGGGCAAGAAGGACTGGGACAAGGGCGACTACGAGGACTGGGCGAAGGAGAAGGACTGGGACTACGAGTACTGGTACGGCTGGGAGGACAAGGCCTGGGAATCCGAGGACGAGTGGGAGTCGCGCGGGAGGAAGGTCGAGCTGCGGGCGCCGGCGAGCGTGCCGTGCCTCTGCGACGGGACCTGCACCTTCCAGGACGAGGAGCGCTTCTGGGTCCGCCTCGACGACGTGCGCTTCGCCGGCGAGGGCGAGGACGAGGACGAGGACGAGGGCGAGGGCGGGCCGGGCAAGAAGGACTGGAAGAAGGGCGACTACGACGGCTGGGAGAAGCGGCGGCTCCGCCCGTCGGGCGACGTGCCCGTGCTCCGGGACAGCGGGCGGATCGAGCTCGTCGAGGGGTCCGTCTTCGGCGCCGCGGGCCTCACGGGAAGCTGCGACGGCGAAGCCGCGCTCGAGGTCGGCGCGAGCGGCGACGAAGCCTGGACCGACTGCGAGACGGGCGAGGCGCTGTTCCTCGTGACTTTTGCGTCCGCCGAGGGCTCCCTCGGGAGCTGCGGCCCCGGCGACGTCCTGCACGTGTGGCGCGCGCAGGAGGACGCCGAGCACACGTACTGGGAGGACGAGCTCGGCGAGAGCGGGTCCTGGGAGCTCGCGGAGATGGAGGCGGAGCTCGTGCGCGCGCTGGACGCCATGACGCTGAACGAGGCGCACATGGCCGTGGCGGGGCTCGACCAGGACGACTACGATGCGTTGAGCACGGAGGAGAAGCTCGACGTCTGGCGCGAGCTCGAGGCGGAAGACGAACGGTTGCGGGACCGGCGCCACGACGGCTACACGCCGCCCATGCCCGAGGCCGTCTACCTGGAGCTGCTGGATCTGGACGAGGCGGAATGGAAGGCGTTGGACGCCAAGGAGAAGCACGTCGCCTACTCGAAGCTGCTGGACATGATCGCGTTCGACGTCGAGCCGCTCGTGGACGCCGTCGAGGACATCGAGGCCATGGAGCGCGCGTGGAAACTGGAGGAGGCCTACGAGCACGAGCACGGCCTCGAGGCGACGCGCGACGCGACCTTTGAGGCGCGCGAGGCCTGGGCCGCGCACGCGGCCGAGTTCGCGGGGCTCCCCTGCGACGACACGGCCGCGGACGTCGACAAGCCCTGGTACGACTTCGTGTCCTGCGCCGAGGAGAAGCGCCAGGGCGCCTGCGACCGCGACACGAACGAGTGGATCGTCGAGCACTGCCGCGCGACGTGCGGCTGGTGCGCCGACGACCCCCTCGAGCTCGCGCACGCCTACCGCTTCGACGGCGACGGCATATCGGGGTCGACGACGGCCGTCGAGGACCGCGCGGGCGCCTGTCACGGCAAGGTCGCCGGCGGCGCGGCGCTGCGCGAGGGCACGCCGGGCCTCAAGCTCGACGGCGACGACGACTACGTGTTCCTGCCCTGCCTCGAGGAGACGCTGGGGAAGATGACGCGCGGCGCCATCCAGCTCTGCTACGCCTTCGACTGCGAGAACCAGGCGGGCACGTCGGAGGAGGCGCGGATCTTCGACTTCGGCGACGGCGAGGACGCGAACTTCTTCTTCGCGCCGCTCAAGGACGGCTACTGCTACGACCGCTTCCACATCACCAAGGAGGGCTGGGACGTCGAGGAGACCTACAAGGGCGCGCCGCGGACGACGGCCGCCGGCGACGAGACCTGCGTCTACGTCGAGCTCGACCGCGGCCGGAACCCCTCGGCGTCCATCTCCACGGACCGGGAGCCCTGGGACGGCGCGTGCGCGAACGAGGCGGGCGACGACGGCGGCAAGGGCGGGGGGTTGCCCTGCGTGCTCGCGCCCGCGGACCTGGGCCGCCTGAACCGGAACTACCTCGGCCGGGGCCAGGACGGCGCGCACGCGCGCATGATCCTCTTCAGCCTCGACGTCTACGCGCCCGCGGGGCGGTCCAAGATCGCCCTCGACGCCGACCAGCGCGCGCCCCTGGGCCGCGGCGGCGGCGCCGAGGATCTCGCGGCCGCGGCCTACGACCGCTACCGCCAGAAGCACGACGACGACGACGCCGCGGCCGCGGCGGGCGCCGACGACGACGACGGCTCGGGCATCGCCGCGGCGAAGACGGAGCTCCTCATGCTCGTCATCCTCTTCGCCGCCGTCGCGGCCACGGCCGTCGGCGTCGCGGTGTTTTTCGCCGCGCGGCGCCTCAAGGGCCGCGTCCGGTCGCCGAGCCACTTCGCGCCCGTCGTCGGCGCGGCCTGCGACGTCGAGCTCGCCGACGCGCGGCCCGTGGACCAGACCTTCGACGAGCTCGCGACGGTCGAGGCCGTCCGCGTCTCCGACGCGGCGCCGCCGGAGCTCGCGGTCGCCAAGGCCGCGCCCGACGGCGCGACGGAGAAGATGCTCTAGCCGGGCGGCGCCCTTTTTTATTTGTCTTGCTTCGTGTGACCGGTGCGCCTCGCACGTCGCCTCGCGGAAGTCCTCGCGGCGCTCTGCCGCGCTCATGAGCGGCGTTCCGAACGTACGCGCCGAGTCGAGCAGCTTCGGTGCAGCGGTATTGAAGGGACCGAATTCTTGTGGCATCTCCCTTCGCCGCCACCAGTCGCGCCGTCCGCACAAACAATCATGATGCGCGTCGCCCGCCCGCTGCGCCACGTCGCCGTCGCCCGCGCCTCCGCGCGGCCGATGAGCGAGATCCCCATCAAGACCTGCTGCCGCGTCGTGTCCATGAACGTCGGGGACGAGGCGACGGCCATCAAGATGGACGGCCTCGTCGCCAAGCTCAAGCCCGTGCTCGAGGCCGTGCCCGGCTTCGCGGGCCTCGACCGCAAGGTCTGCAAGAGCGAGTGGGACTACGCGACGACGATGAAGTTCGACTCCCTCGACGCGCTCAAGGGCTACCTCGGCGACGAGGCGACGCAGGCCAAGGTCAACGAGCTCCTCGCCGAGGGCGTCGACATCCTCGGCGGCGACCCGGCGAAGATCCACCGCCAGAACTTCGTCCACGACGAGATGTGAGCGTTGACGCGGTGGCTTTTCTCGAGCTCGCGGCGCGCTCCGTTAACCGCCGCCGTTAGTGCGTGAGGCGTCGCGGTGGCTCCGGAGCCCGAAGGGGGGACGCCGTCCCCTATTAATGGCTCCGGAGCCCGAAGGGGGGGGGCGCTGCCCCCTTCTAATCGCCGTCGTTAGAGGGCGCCCCGTCGGGGAACGGGGCGGCGCGGAACCCGCGCGTGAGGACGTGCTTGACGCCGGCCTCCACGGGCAGCTCCTCGCGGCGGGCCGCCGCGTGCGCGGCCACGGCGAGCCGGTCGGCGCGGAGGAGCGGCGTCCGCGCGTCGCGGAAGAAGATCGCGTCGCCGCGCTTCGGCGCCACGGTCAGGCCAAGGTCCGGGAAGGCCGTCGCGCCGCCGGCGAAGCCGTCGTCGAGGTAGAGCGCGAGCGTGGCGAAGCGGCCGCCGGCGGCGTCCGCGCGCGGCTCGTCGCCCGGGCCGTAGGTATCGACGCGCCAGCGCTCCGCGTGGGCCGGGGGCAGCTCGGCGACGGCCGCGGCGCGGAGCGCGAGGTCGCCGGGCGCCGCGGCGTCGTCGAGCCACGCGGTCCTCGACGCCGCCGCGAGCGCGGCGGCGCAGTCCGCGTGGGACGCGAAGGCCGGGAGCAGGACGACGAGGGGGTCCGCGCTGAGGACCTCCGCGGCGCGCCCGAGCGCGAGCGAGTAGAACGTCTCCGCCTCGGCCCGCGTGCGGTGCGGCGCGACGTAGGACGCGCCGTCGACGTGGGCCGGGGCGCGGCGGATCGCCTCCGCCGCCCGGTCGGGCTCGCTCTCCTGCAGCGCGCGCCAGCAGTCGTGCGCGTTCACTCCGCCCAGCGCGAAGCGCCGGTCGCCGCGGACGAGGAGCGGCGTCGACACGCGCTTCGTCGGCCCGCCGAGGACGCGGTGGACGACGGCCCGGAAGGCACCCGCGGACGCGAGCTCCAGGAATTCGCCGGGCATGCACAGCACGTCCGTCGCTTCCGCGCCTTCGGCCGCTTCGGGGCGGACCCAGGCGTCCAGCGACGGGTCGAAGACCTCCAAACCCGGCGGGGAGCTCAAGGGCACGAGCGTGAAGAATGACGTGTCCGTGTGCGCGCCGAAGACCACGGCCTTCGACGACGGCGCGTAGCGGCAGAGGCGGTGCGCCGTCGTCGACACCTCGCGCCGCCCGCCGTCGGCGCTCACGTCGTCGGCCACGCGCGCCTCCGCGTCGGGGAGCAGGGCGCGTGCGAGGAGCGCGCCCAGCGCGCCGAGCACGCGCCGCGACTCGTCGAGCGCGGGGCCCGCCTCCGCCGCGAGGCCCGGCGGCCGCGCGCGGCCGTCGCCGCCGTAGCGGCCCTCGGCGAAGCGGCCGGGCCCGTCGCCGCCGAAGACGCCGACGAACTCCGCCGGCCGGTCCGGCGCCACGGGCGCCGCGCCGCCGACGCGGAGCAGCGCGGCGTCGTCGTCGAGCAACGCCCCCGCGGCGCTCCGGAGCCGCCCGCCGTCGAAGCCGGGCAGCCGCAGGACGGCGTAGTGCTTCGCGCGCAGGCGCGCCGCGAGCTCGCGCCGGCCGCCACCCGTCGCCAGGGCGCCGACGGCCAACGGCGCCGGCGCGGCGGCGGCGGAGGCGGCCTCCGTGGCGCAGGCCTCGTCGAGGGCGTTTTGTATGCGCGCGACGATGCCGGCGACACGCGTCGCCGTGGACGCGACGGCCGGCGTGACTGGTGCGGCCGGCGCGACCGGCGTGACGCTGCCGCTGAGCGCCCACGCCGTCGCCGGCAGCAGAAGCATGCAGGTCGCCATCATCGTCGTCACAGGTGCCGACTTCATCTTGACTGCAACGAGCGGCCGCGACGACGTCTTCTCGTGATTAGCCTTCGACCTCAGAACCCGTGGGGCCGCATCGCGAACTTGCCCGGCCCCGCGAACGCGAAGTACAGGGTCACGCCGAGGAACGCGAGGCAGGGCTCGTAGGTGTAGGCGCCGCGGCTCTCCGGATTCAGAGGAAACCGCTGCGGGCCGAACTTCATGAGGTGGAAGGCCAGCGCGTTCATCATCGTGCCGGCCAACAAAAGCGACGCAGGCCGCGCGAAGATCCCGACGGCGAGGCAGAAGCTGCCCACGATCTCGACCGCGGCGGCGAGGTAGGTGAAGAAGTACGGGAACACGAGAAAGGGGAAGTACTCGGCGATGACGCCTGGAGGGCGCGTCCGGGTCTTCGGCGCGCCACCTTTTTCCCTTTCGCGCGCGGGCGCGTCTGGACGCCACCTTTTTCCTTTGGCACGCGCGCGTCCGGACGCCGGGCGCGCGCCCATCGCGAAGCCATCCGTGTTCTCCAGCTTGTCGAGGCCGCTGCGCGGACGGGAGGCGCGTTCGGTCGCGCGGCGCGGCCGCGCGCGCGCGCGTTCGAGCGCGCACGCCTTTCGTTCGCGCGCGGCGCGCGCGCCCGCAGGACGCCGCCGCAGCGCTGGTGCACGATGAGCAGCGCCGTGATCACTCGCATTACGCAGGCGCCGGCTTCGGCGAGCGTCGGATGATAGACGATGCCGAGGCCGGGCCAGGCATGCATGGCAGCCTTCCTCTTTGCATCAGACCCCATATCGTCCCACATCAACGAATAGCCACGCGCCGACATGGGCAGGTGCGCCTCGTGCCAAAGGCTCACTTTTGCACAAGTTGTGGCAAAAAAAGGTCAAGTAACTTAGTTGAAGCACATAAAAAAGTTATTTTCAGAGCGACACGGCGGACGTGCGCTTGCCGCGGGCCGGCGGCGGTACGGTGGGCAGGAGCGTGCGGCCGAGGAGGTTCGACGCGAAGTCCGCGAAGGCCCAGAAGGCGACGCCGACGGGCCGGTCCGCGGCGGCCGCGACCTTGGTCCACTCGAGGAGCCACTTGACGAGGGCCGCCAGGGGCCCGTGGATGACGAGGTCGTGAAGCCCAAAGTCGCGTCGTACTGCC